ACAAGTGATGAAACGCGTTGGACCTGGCCTAGTGGACGTGATGTTGGAACGTTCCTCCCAGCTGTCGGCTGTGTGATCACGGTGCAGGAGGTTCATCCCTTGGTTTTTCCCTTGTGGATGTGGAATTATAGAGGCTGTCATTGCTGGTGTCAGCTAGACACCTTCTTTGTGAGTGCAATACTGTACTAATAACGTTTTACTGGTTTTATACGTACTGCACCATCATATCTTATTCCTCGAGCTTTGCCCATGTTATTGGAAAATCATTTGCTGCCTAGCTGTTCCATATGTGCTGCCTAGCTGTTCCATATGTGCTGATTGGATCACTATGTTTGCTGTGCCTCTACTGGGATATCCTGCAGATCATCGCTCCCAGAGCAAAATGCTATCATGCTGGTTTATAATATAATCCGCATATAGCTCTGGTGAGTGTATTCATTTCATCTGGTGTCTGATTTGCACATGGGTGTTTTGCTTTCAAGATTAACATTAAGTTGATATTGGACTATCACTGTTATGGTGGCTGGACTTATGTTTATATTATGAATTTATTTATATTATTTATCCTTGCATTTTTTGTGAATAATTAGCGCACTTTTTTATTTGTACAACATTGTTATATCTTTATAGCTAACTATTACAGATAAAAAATCTTTGCATGAGTATTATTATTATACAGTATTTAGCGCTGAAAGGTTTGCTCAGCGCTGTACATTATAGTGGGGGACAGAACATGAGACAATACAGTAACAAAACAAAACACGAGGGGGTCAAGGGCCCTGCTCTTTTGAGTTTACAATCTAGGAGTAGAGATTCTTGTTTCTCTGGGGCCCATGTCTCCTGCCTACCTTCCAGTACATTGCTGTAGCCTCCATACATGTCTGGCTTTTGACACTTCCATGTTCCGCTGCATGCTGTGGTTTATTCCCTTGACCCTCTATGGCACTACAGGACTCGGATTATCGAATCGCAAAGTGTAACGACAGGCATCTGACACTTCCACAGGCTATAGTGCTAGAATAGAGGGCAGCTAGAAGAGAAGCTGCTGGAGAGGGAAGCATACTACTACTTCTATTACAGGGACCTTTTATCTGTATTTGCTAACTTGACAGGGTCTCTTTAAGGAACTGGTGTTTGCAGAATAGGTAGATGTGTCATTTTGAGGTTGTGCACATATTCCTTTCTATACTGAACCAAAGTTGAGTTTGCAGAGGCTATATGTGATCCATAGGCTGGGCTGCAAGCTCCTTTCTTAACATTCCTGTTTCATTTACGTTGACCTTTCCTATTGACTGGCTGCTAGTAAAAACCACTCTGCTGAAACCAGTGGTAATTACACACCCATGTACTGCTCCTGCTTGGCTATATAATTTTCAGCCAGGGTCCTCACCTGTGTCTCTGGCAATTGCCTTTAATAACTGCTGGCTGATTACGACGATCCTGTGTGCTGTGAATTTTAAAGGTCTCACTCTCCTTCTGCGTAGTTTTTGTTGTGAACAAAACTTTCCTTTTGAGTTGGTCAGTAATGAAGAACTAAACTTCAAAACATGGCAGCCCTTTGGGTCTTTAGATCTGTGCAGTTAACTCCTAATGTGCAGCTAAATATCCAGCGCCATGTTCATGTATGTTCTCTGCTTTGCTGCACTTTATTTAAAGCCTAATAGCTCATTTACACGAGCTTCCCCATTTGAAGAGTGATCCACAGCGGTGTTTGACAGACGGTTAAGAGGCCCTATGTTGCCTCCTCACCTCCCGTTTTAAAAATCTGAACCACTGGCGCAGCCACATGCGTTGACAACAGTTGCATTACCCCATTTCAGTTGACTAGATTGTGATCAGTGGGTGGTACTGCCTTGGGAACGCAACGGGAATAATGTTCACTGCGTCACGATGCAAAGCACATCGGCATGTATACATCTCAATCTTTATTTGCAGCTCAAGGGGTAGCAGTTGGGAGGCAGTAAATGTGTCCCAACTGCATGTTTTTACACATTAATATGGCCTTATTGGGGAATTTCCCATTTCCTGTTAGAACAGGAAGTGATGGCCAATCTCTAAAATAAGAATTTTTAGAGAAAGTTTAGAGGACAGGCAAACTTTTGCGATCCGGCACTGCATTATTTTAACTGACGATTGTGCAGTAATGCAATGCTGTGCAGAATTTTAAATTTGTCATTTTTTTTTTTTTTCCACAATAGAGCTTTCTTTTGGTGGTATTTGATCACCTCTGGGTTTTTGATTTTTTTTTTTTTTTTTTTTTTTTTTTTTTTTTTTTTTTTTTTGCACCATAAACAAAGTCCTAAAGTTGTGGGGGAAAAAAAAACAATAAAATTTTACTTGCTGCTATAAAACATAGCCAATAAAAATTAAATCAAATTGCTTCATAAATTTAGGCCAATATGAATTCTACTGCATGTTTTTGGTAAAAAAAAAATCCCAATAACCATATATTGATTGGTTTGCACAAAAGATTTTATGTGCATTTTAACATACTCTTTGCATGTTATTTACTTGTGAATGTCACAAGACTGCTGCTGCTTGGGTGCTGCCATCTTGGATGTGATGGCAGCAGCCCCTGCAGAGTTGGTGTTGCCACTCAAATGACGCTCTGTAGCAAGGATGTTAAACTCCATTTCATCGCAGACCACTTCAGCATTATGTTTGCTGGAATCCTGATTGCAAGGGAGGGAGGCAGAGATGAGGGCGTGCTACAGCTGCACAGAGGTGCAGGATCTGTAGGAGGACTTCTGTCCTCTCTCTGCTGCTGGATGCTGAGACACAAAGCGGAGGTGGAGAAGAGTGGGTTGCCGCAGCTGCAGGAGAGGTGCAAGGGCCACATGAAATGGCCTGCAGGGCTGCATTCAGATTGCGGGCCTTGTGTTTGACGTGTGCTCTAAAGTATTCTTTCTAGCAGCTACATAAAATGTTAGGTGGGGAAGGGGCTGGGACAGCATATAATGATATTAGACCCTTCTAGAAGAGTACAGGCCTGTGATATACTAGGAGGGAGGGGGCTGTGTTAAGGACTATCTTGCAGTAGTCAAATTGTCTAGCAAGTTCAAAGGCACACTGCAAGTGGATTAAAAAAATAATTTTTGGAAAGGAAAAGCACCACAACTGCATACTTAAAATACTTGTTTGTGCTTCTACAGTACCTGCAGTCTTTTAGGTGCTTGATGGAGTCTTTTTAATTTACTAGTCAATGTAGTTGTAAAGGCTCAAGGTGTGTTTTTTTTTTTTTTTAAACCACCTATGTGCAGCGCCCTACATCCCCCCCCCCCCCCCCCATCCTTACCTACCCCCCCCCCCCCATCCTTACCTGAGCTCTTTGATCTAGCGGCCTCCTTGACAGCTTCAGCTGCCTGGGGAAATCCTTTTTTTTCTTTTTTTTTTTTTTTTTTTTTTTCCCCCTTCATTGGCTGCGACAGCAGCAGGAGCCCATTGGCTCCCACTGGTGTCAGTCACAAGAAGTGAGCCACTGAGGAGAGAGCGGGGGGGGGGGGCAAGCAGCGGTGTCCCCAGGGCAAGCGGCTTTCCCTGTGGGCACTGCTTGTGGGGGAGGAGCCAGGAGCGCAGACAGGGACCTGAAAAGAAGAGGATCGGGGCTGCTCTGTGCAAAATCACTGCACAGAGCAGGCAAGTATAAACATGTTTTGATGTTTAAAAAAACAAAAAACTAAGCTTTAGTGTCACTTTAATGTAGAAATCCCCATGAGCTGTCAGTGTGGCTGATGTTCTTCTAGTTGTCCCATAAATTAGAGGATAGGAATGGTTAATCTTCCTCACTAGCAGAAATGCATTCTCCAAATCACACAAGTTGCAGGTTTTATTTCCACCTTAATACTCCCATGTTCACAGCTTGTAATGAGCGTGCAGCTTGAGGCCTTTCCAGGCTGGAATGAAACAAGCTCCTATTTGCTGCTGTCTCGCTGCCTGTGCCACTCTCATAATAAGAGTTATTTGCTGTGACAGGCACAAGTATCGGGATTGAATCCGGAGCTGTGCTCTGCGGAAAGAGAGCCGCCACGGAGGAGCTGCAGGGTAAGGCTGTAATGCTCGGTTTGTCACATGAAGCACTGATGTAAGCCACTCTAAAAAGATGGGAAAGATTACAATGCCTCAGGTGAGCGCTGCAGAAACTTCAGTTCATAAAACCGTTAACCGGACAAAATGGAGGCAACATCTACAAGCTCGCCTGGTATTCTGGAAGTTAGTGTTGGGCCTAAATGAAAACTCCATTTTCTAGTTGAATTTCCACCATGAGACAAAGCAATATTTGTTTGACCTACCTATTGGGATAAAAATAATAGTATTTTTAAGAGACCCAACACTGAATATTCAGTCTTGGTGTGTCTCCATGCACAAATTAGAAACTCTCTTTAGCAAGGTTACTATAAGTGTTCTATGAAAGTATGCTTTGTAAATTGTCTATGGAATAATAAATATTGCAATCCTGACATTTACATGTTTGTGATCTACAGCAGACCATACAATCATCAAAATTCAACACAAATTCGCCGAACTTCAGTCAGTGTGTGTGATCATCCACAATCAAAAGTTGATTGTTTGATCGACTTCTTTTGAATGGATATGCTGGAAACGTTCTCTCTTCATCAGCAGCTGTAGCTGCTGTTCAGTGTATTCTGACAGATGTGGGTTTCGCTGTCAGAATACAATGTCCTGGAAGTGGAGATTCCTCAAGCCACCACATTTTGTGTGCGGTGGATGAAGGAATCTGCTATTTGATTTGGCTGAGTGAAGAAAAAGTGTATGGCCAGCTGTAGCAATTCACATAACCTTATTGAAAGTCATACATAACAAACACTGTTTGATTTCCATTATACCTTTTTCTGTATGTGAATGATGGCTATGTAATTATTTTAAATAAAAAGAATCTACCGTATTTTTCGCTCCATAAGACGCACCGGACCATATGACGCGCCTAGGTTTTAGAGGCTGAAAACAGGAAAAAAAATATTCTGAACTAATGGACTGCGGACACAGTACAGGGGATGACCAGAGACTGCGGACACAGTACAGGGGATGACCAGAGACTGCGGACACAGTACAGGGGATGACCAGAGACTGCGGACACAGTACAGGGGATGACCAGAGACTGCAGACACAGTACAGGGGATGACCAGAGACTGCGGACACAGTACAGGAGATGACTGCTGACCTTTGGGGAGGGGGGGAGCGGGTACCTGAATTTGACAGGTACCCGCTCTTACTTCCGCGGAGTTGTTCTTTGACCATATCTGTTCCTCTATCCAGTGGCGCGCTGTCTTCCCGGCTTCTGTAGTGTCGGCGCTCGTCTTGACAGCCGGGTGCCCAGTGCGCATGAGCGAGAAAGCGCTGCGCTTTGTGATTGGTCCGGCGGCTTCTGGGAACTGTCGTGTCCCAGGTGCCGCCTTACCATTCACATTCTTGCGCATGAGCACTTGGCACCTGGCTGTCAAGCCCAGCGCCCACACTACAGAAGCCGGGAAGACAGCGCGCCGCTGGATAGAGGAACAGGTAAGGTCCCGCTGCAGAGCTGAGCGGCCGGCCCGGTATTCTGACACGGCGGTGGTGGAAATACCGGACCGGCCACTCCATATTCGCTCCATAAGACGCACTGACATTTCCCCCCCTTTTTTTGGGGGAAAAAAAGTGCGTCTTATGGAGCGAAAAATATGGTAAGTACTTTTTTTTTTTTTTTTTTAACTAGTAGATATACAGCTGTCACATGACACAGCTCTTTTCCAGCCTGTCTGCAGGGAAACAGTGGCAGGAGGAGTTTCTGGCTCTCTGCTGGTCACATGTTGAAAATTAAAAGGAAAAAAAAACCTGGTTTGGGATACTGAGTAAAAATAAATGATTAATATCAAACCGTTTTACATTCTCATACAAATATATTTGAAATCAAACATTTTTTGGCAATAAAATATGGTGTGAATGGATTTCTTGCCAGTCACGCCCCTCCAGCCTGTGTCGTAGAACAGGCAGGTGAAGCCTCCATCAATAAAGTTGTAATATCCCATTATGTTTAGTTGGTTAGTGGGCATGGAGGAAGAGGGAGGGAGCGGGCTTTCATTTACCTCTGTGTATACGCCCACACGTGTGACTCTGTAGTCACCTGGGCTACTCGGAATGTGGTAGGGAGGAAATGCTCAGAATAGAAACTCACTGAAAACTGAGCATGTGCAGAATTGCCAACACTGCTTTGCAGAATCCCCAACTGCACTGGACATCACAGTACTCACATTGGATGTGGGAAGTGTCACTACCTATTAGTTCTGTGAATCCACACCACACAATGAACTGAATTCACAAAGAGAATTTCAAAATCAGTCAACTAATGTGCTTTGGGCAGAGTGGAAACGCCTGATGTGCTGTTATGTTTTTAAATGGATGCGATAAAAGAACATTTTTAAAGCTGACCTTTAGGCAAAACCACGAAGTACATAGATAAAATATATGTAAGGGAGCTGTTTAATGTACCGAGGGGTTTGTAATTCTTTCCCTTTAGTTTTATATACACTGCTTCGCCACACTGTACAGCCCTTTCTGGCAGGACGGAAGATCTGATTTTTCTCTGCTGCCATTAAGTAAAACTTCTAGGTCTTTTACCTCCTCTTGTACCTGGACAGTGAAAAGAAGAAATCGCAGACTGAACTCTCCTTTTTGCTGTCTATCAGTGTGTCTTTTGTTAGCACATAAGCACTCATTTGTTTCTTATGCTGCTTTTCCCTCTCCCAGTGTGAGCTCTACTGTTCAGGAGATTGTGGATTCAAGATGGCTAAATAGATTTGAGTTAGTTGTGAAATCTACACACAGAAGAGGCCTTTTAATACTGGTTCGCTAGGCAGTACTTTTATTTCATTTGGATGCATTGCCAATGTGCTTTAATCATGAAGCAGGCCTCTGGTACTTTATTACGGAATACCTCTCCCTTTGCATGAGGTAGTCTGTTTCTGACTTTTTGGTTGAGTATCGCACCGTCATTTCCTTTTGAAATGATCGTGGTGTCTGTCAGCACACCGCATTATATATGACACAGCACCAGAAAACAATCCCGCCGTCCAGCACTACAAGGATGCGGAACTGATTATATTCTCTTGTCTTCAGCCCTTGCTGCACAGCAGATTGCAATCCTCATTCACAGCTAAAATATTACTGGATAAAATGGAGTTACAGCATCGTAAAAATGCTGACTCTGGTGCTATCTCTGCTATTTCAACAGGCCCATAAAAAATCAGATTTAATCAGCACAAACGTGGCGGTTCTGTTAAAAGGGCTGTAAAGTTAACAAATACAACAGTTGAGCCCTTGTTACACAAAAAAAAAAAAAAGTTATCAAGGCCGAATATATAGATTCCTGCTACTTTTTTTTAAATTTTTTTTATTTGATGTTTCTTTCATTGTGATGAGGGCGCGGAGACTTGATGTAAGAAGTGTAATAGGTGTGAGATCTGTAGCCAGCTTACCTGTTGCTCTCCATTGTGTTCAGATGCAATATTGAAGCCATCTGCCGTGTCTTCTCTTTTTGTTAACTATTGAATTGTTGCATTTCATAATGTCAGATTTTTATGGCTATTTTTAGTGGCATTTAAAAAGGACAGTCAACTGAAGTCAAAATTTTTTGCCAATGGGAAAAGAATGAAAATATACATGTAAAAAATATATTTTGCATTCGCATAGAAAATCTAAAACTAGACCAGGAAATTGGTGACATTTAAAGTGTATTTGTATAGAATTTAATTTGCCAACGCAGTATGTTTAGTTTCCATATTTTTAAATCAACTTTTTCACTTTTTATTTATCCTTGAATCTTAGGGCTCGTTCACACTTGACTGTTTTACCAATGCTTGCCAAACGCCCATATAGCATTTGGCAAGTGTTGGTCCGGCGTTTGCAGAGCGTTTTTTAACGCTCGGCAAACGCTGCATGCGCGGTTTAGCAGCGGTTGCCGAGCGTTAACACCCCACAAACGCCGATAATGAAGTTTGACTGGTGTTACCGCTCCGCAAACGCCCTGCAGCCGCGTCGCAACACGCCGGCCGGGTGTTTGCGGAGTGGCACCATAGACTAGAATAGAAGGCTTCAATGCCTCCTGACTTGACCAGAGGCGTCTGTTTTGCCACAACGCTAACGCTCCCTTTAGAACAGCACCATGTGCTGCAATGTGCAGAATTGTCTGAGGCATTTGGGAATCGGTAAAAACGCTTCCCAAACGCCTCTCTGCCGCCTGCACACAACGCTAGTGTGAAGCTAAAAAATTCATATGGGTACAGTGTTGCATGACTGTGCGATTGTCATTCAAAGTGTGATAGCGCTGAAAATTGGATAAAAGTGTCTGGACTTGAAGTGGTTAATGAAAGCTGCATTTAAAAATGTGTAAAATGACTTGAAATGACATTACTATGGGTTTACATATGTTTTATGTGGATTTTATCAGATTAGTTTTAAGCCTTTAAAGCTGTAAGGGTTTTGGGTCAGTTTTACTTAGAGCTCAATTCCTGCTTTGTAATCCGTCTAAAGGAGCATGCTGTGCATTGTAGTGCTACAGTAGCGGTAAATCCTCCATTTTGTAGTACAGCACTTCAGAGCTGCTCAGCGGATGAAATAGATTGAGCCTTGGCTCGCACAACAGATGAACGTGAATAATTCCGATGTCTTGGCCAAGCCGTATTTCCTCTTTGAGTCTCTTGTGAAGCAATTACTGAGAAGATTTTGCCAGCATATTGTGAACAAATCGCCAAAGGTGGTGTTCTGCATGCAAAGGCGGTTACCCGGCTGCCTATGAACTGGCTATAAATTGCCGGGAGTAGGCGGTGATGCTGCAGGCCTTCTGGAGTTTTTGCTTGGCAGAACATCCACTCTGAGAGACAGGAGACCGTGATTATGAAAACCGGAGCAAAGGAAAACCTTGTTACTGGTCATTAGGACTTGACAAAACCCAGAAGCTAGCTTTTATTGGCTTTTTAGTTCTCTGATTGTGTCAGGCCTGCACAATGGATATTCTATGTAATATATAATTCTTTGAGTTGTCACATTCTGGATCATGGAGCAACGAGCACCGCATACCTTATTCTGCAAAGGTCTTCTAATAGAGGTCTGTCCTTGTTGGCATGCTGTACACTTTAGTCCCCATGGGTGGCTGTTATGGGAACAGCAAATGGTTCTTGCTGCAGGCTCAATGTTTAACATAAAGGTCTAAAGATGAATTTCAGGCAAATGGCTGAATCCAAGGCTAAAGTGTGTATACCAGTCCAGGTAAATCAAGTAGGTTTGTGAGTTAAGCTGTGCATACACTGATCACACCTTGGCAGGTTTAGCAGGTAGCTGCTTAACCACCTCCCGTCCGGCCGTTGTATATAAACGGCCGGACGGTGGTGGCACTGCAGGGTCGGGTGGCCGTCTATAAACGGCCTCCCCGCACCCTGCTTGTGCGCGCTCCCTGGGAGTGCGCAGCACTGCGATCCGGTGCCCACTGTGTCCTCCGGACACAGTGACACACCGATCGTCGGACGGACCTCTGTACGAGGTCCCGATCATGTGATCACTGATTGGCCAATCAGTGATCACATGCAAAGTAGTAAGCAAGATGTCACTTCTGACATCATTGCTTACTACGTGTGAAATCTGTGAATGATCACAGAGGTCACATGGTACAAGGCTATTCACAAAAGCCTTTTACCATGTGAAAGCTGTGACCAATCACAGCTCACTCAGTACTTCTCAATGAGTGCAAGAATGCACACAGAGAGAGAGAAATGATTGCTTTTACATCCTATATGGGTGTAAAAGCAATCAGTGTAAAAGAAAAAAAAAAAAATCTTCTTCACCCCACAAGTAGTACAGTGTCTCCATGGTGACACTGTACTGCTAGGGTGCCAGTATGTAAAAAAATAAAAATAAAAAATATAAAAATGTAAAAAAAAATGTTTAAAAACTATAATTTTTGGTTATAAACTAATTTGGATTTTTTTGTTTTTTACTAAAAAGATAATGGAACACATTTTGGCCAAGATTTATGATGAAATATTATTTCTTTGCAAAATTTTATAAAACACTTTTTTTCAAAAATTTTTGGACTTTTTCATTTACATAGCAAAAAAAAAATAAAAATCCCAGCGGTGAATAAATACCACCAAAATAAAGCTTTATCTGTCTCAAAAAATGGTAAA